GAAGCCAAACAGCAAGATCACAACTCACCAGCTCAAATCCCCCAGCAACTAAGACTAACCTGAGCACAACCAAGCCCCCACCTGAACAGAACACGCCTCCAACCAATCAGAACACGGCTAACCCCCCAACCAATCAGAACACAGCCAAACCCCCTACCAATGAGAACACACCCCCACCCAATCAGAACACAGCCAAGCCCCCACCCAATCAAGTCCCACCCCCACTGGCAGTTAAAAGGAGGAAGGAGCTGCAATCTCACATTACTCTGAGAAGCACAGAGCCGGAGACAGAAGCCTGAAGATGATGAATGAGACTTCATCGAAACGTTGCCTAGATACTTCGAATCTTACGCGGGAGAAAACCCGAACAACCAAAGATCCATATATATATTATATATATATATATATATATATATATATATATATATATATATATATGAATACACACACACACACACACACACACATACACACATATAGCAAACATTCCCAGAAGATCTCTAACAAAGCAGAATATCTTCAGCTCTCATCTGATGAGTTTTAATGCAAAATCTTAGATAACAGTTTTGAATAGGTTGATATGAGTGCAAGTTCTGCAAGTTCAGTGGACCATTCTGTTTCCAGAAGAATTGGGGTTTTTTCCCCGCTGGGTAAATCTGTTTCTTTCTTAATTTTTTTTATAGTTTGGGGGCAATCCGTTTGCTTCATTAGTAAGCAATTCATCAGGTGGGGACAGTCAACCATCTCGCACAGAAAATCGAGATCCTTTACCAAATCCTTGGGCTCCTCAAACAACCACACAGAGCTCTCCAAACAGCAGCAGTAGCAACAGTGGAGATACTGGAGGAGGCAGTAGTGTTGGAAGCAGCAGCACTGGAAGCACAGGACAGAGCTCAGCAATGCCAAATTTGGGACCTGGGCTAGGAGGTATGTTCGTCTTAAAGCTTACTTGATTTTCTTGAAATAGCAATAGCACTTAGACTACATATATACCGTTTCACAGGGCTTTACAGCCCTGTCTAAGCAGTTTACAGAGTCAGCATAACGTCCCTAGATCCTCATTTTACTGACCTTGGAAAGATGGAAGGCTAGTCAACCTTGACCTGGTGAGAATCAAACTGCCAAAGTGCAAGCAGTCTGCAGTCTGTAATATTGACCTTCAATACTGCATTCTAACTACTGCAACACTAGGACATTGCTCAAATTATCTATCCAGAAAGGCATACATGTTAGTCTTGTTCTAAATTCAGTTGAGCGTTAAATGAGTTTGGATTGCAAATGAAATACTAGTTATTTGAGTATTATTAAACAGCATGAAATCTCTTATCCCAAAGGTGCTTTTTCAAGAGGCAACTGGACTTTCTGGTTTTTCTTTAAAGATGTTTCACTTCTGATCTAAGAAGTTTCCTTGGAGCTCAAGAAGCTTCTTGGATGAGAAGTTAAATGTCTTCAAAACCCCCCCCAGAAAGTCCAGTTGCCTCTTTAAAAAGCACCTTTGGGACAACCAGACCTGGATCACTGAGAATCTCCATAGACATGATATCTCTTTGTTTATTTTGACTGTTGAATTGCATGTTTGTTTGGTCCTGAGTGATGAAAATAATTGCACTGAATAGATAGGTAGTCATCTAAGTCAGAGAGAGAGATGATGTCATGGCACTGTGTTGCTGAAACTTTGTTTTCCCCTTTCAAGCTGGAATGTTCAACACACCTGGCATGCAGAGCTTGTTGCAGCAAATTACAGAAAATCCGCAGTTGATGCAAAACATGTTGTCTGCGCCTTACATGAGAAGCATGATGCAGTCACTGAGCCAGAATCCTGATCTTGCAGCCCAGGTAAGTCCTTGACAAAAATCCATGCTGAATTAGAATTCATCTATGGTATTTCCCACAACTAGTAAAATGTGGACTTCTATTAATCAATAATATTACATTTCATTTAGACATAAATGGCAAAAAAAATAGCACTGTTGCAAAGTTGCCACTTTGTACCTTATCCTCTGCTCCAGATCATATTAATTAAAATACCCCATATTTTCTCTTGAATTCTACAAAAGTTGTAATGACCATTTTGACTTCATTGTTTCCAGCCACAATCATTTCTGATCTGTTTTTAAATTGTTTTTATTTATATTTGATCTTTCAAAGATCTTTCAAGACATCGAGTTAAATTCAAAAGTACATTTGCTACTATCTCCTCTGGTGCCAAGTGCTTCCTTTTAGCTGTACTTGTTGTTTTGTAAATACTGCTTTATTAAATATTGTAAAAATATAATATTTGCTAATGAAATTTTGAGCTGCCTGAATTAAATCTCTGAGAAGTCAAGAAGCCTAATGATTGGTGCTGGTACTTTTGTGACTTTTGTAGGCCCTTTATAGCAGCAGTCGCCAACCAGTGGGCCACGGCCTACCAGTGCACCCCCCAAAAGCAATTAATCCAGGCTATGCAGAAACACAAGGTTGCGCCGTCCACATGGCCCGTGGGAAGCCTCCCCGCCCACTCACTCCTTACCCGGCAAACTTGCCTGCTAATTTGCTATTTTTTTCCTACCGTCATCTGTTCTGCTTTGCTGGGAGATTTAGATTACCTAGGAAGCAGGAAATGGTTGGATTTCTTGCTTTCTAGCTAGTCTTTAGATCTTCGGCTCTGCTTTTAAGCACAGCCGAACCTACCTTAGGACTGAAGGTTGTATTCAGTGCAGACTCATGACAAGCAAATTTGAGAGACTAAGCTAGCCGATGGCACATAGATAGATCACTGAATGATTCTGTGAGCAATTCAACCTGCTCTGCCTGCTCTGCCTGATTTTGGGTAAAAGTTGCTCTTTTTTATGAAAAATTCAATATTTATATAAATATTTATAATATTTACATACAAACCATGCCCAGCCAGTCACATGACCACCAAGCCACACCCACAAATTAGGCCACACCCACATAACCGGTTAGTGGTCCCTGGGATTTAAAATTATGAGTTTGGTGGTCCCTGAGGTCCAAAGGTTGGCGACCCCTGCTTTATAGAATGTGTTTTCAAGAACTAAGGAATAAGGCACATGGAGGAGGGTCTAATTTAGAGAATGCTAGGAATCCCCTTTTTTCTTAGGCAGGGTATATTTTATCAATTTGCCTTGTATGCACTTACTAGTAATGGACTATGCAGACTTTTACCATTGGGGTAAAAATGAGCTGTTTTCTTAACACATTTATCAATAGGATAAAAACTAAAAATTTGAAGGGGTGACATCAAAGGAGGCTTAAACAGGTTGACTGGCAAAAGGATGTTCAAGTGGAAAAATCAGATGGAGATGAATAAACATTTGCTCAGTGAAGAGGATAAAAAGAAATGGAGCTAATTAATAGTTTGAGGGACACAGTGGTGAATGATGAAAGGAGGTGTGGTAGTTTGAAAGATGAGACAGTAAGTAGGCATAATAATCTGTGGGATCAAGTGGGTAGGGATGAATTAAGTATGAATATAGAAGCTTTATTCCTGCCAGTTGCTTGAATCTTTCATTCTACTGAGCTGTGATTTATTTTAATTATTGTTTGAACAACAGGTTCATATAGAATACTGACCAATTAACCCTAGTTTACAAACTACACACTGGATTGCAAATCATATTGCCATGATAAACTCAGCTATTGTCTATAATATGTATAAATATTGCTTTGCTTAACAATAGTCCTTGATTTATGACTATAATTAAGTCCGGAATTATCGTTATAAGTTGTGCTGATCATTAAGTGAGTGACACATGACTGTGCCTTATTTTACATCCCATTTTCCAGTGGTCGTTAAGTGGATCACTGCAGTTATTAAGCAGACACCATGCCCGTTACGTAAATCTATTGTCTACAGTGAGCCTTTTCACAGGAAATCAGAAGTTAATATTGGTTTCCAGTAAAAACCCTAAGTTGCAATTACATGACCTCAGGATACTGCAACTAGCTATAAATGCCAGTTCCCAAATTCCCAAAATGTAATCATGTGACCATGGGGTGGGGCATAGTAACTTCAAATCTGGGTCATAAGTAGCCATGGGGAGGGGCATCATAATTTCAAACAGTCACTAAGCAATTGATCATAGACAAGGACTACCTGTATGTGTCTGTACCTCTTGCCTTGCCAGGTAAGGGGAGAGTTCAATATACATGAAAGATTGTATGGCTTCAGCATATGTTTGTTAAGTGGAGATTTACCTGAGGATTGAGTTTTGTTTTGTTTTATTTTATATTATTTTATTTTTTTAATGTTTTATGATGATAAAATGTCTGTTTATCCCTATAGATGATGCTGAACAACCCTTTGTTTGCTGGGAATCCACAGCTTCAAGAACAAATGAGACAACAAATTCCAACTTTCCTTCAACAAGTATGTCAAAAGAAGAGTTTAACATTGCACACAATAACCATATTAAAAATGTTATTCTATTTAGATGAAACTTTTCACAGATCATTGATCTACAATCTGATCATCTCTGGTATTTAAGAAAAGGGGCAATTCATCCTTTTGAACTTTCCTGTTGTACAGGAATAGGTGTCTTGTGTATTCTTACAAGCTGTTTCTTTGTGAGTCCTTTAGAAAGCGATCTGCACTGCTGAAAATTCTTGTAAATAAGTTTTCAGTAGTTTCAGCCACAAAATGCATGAAAACTGTAATGTAAGTCCAATGGTAGGCTTACTTATAGCTTTAAAAAGTCTTTCCCTAAAGCTAAGAAAGTAATTACCTCTCCTTTAAATCATTGCTAGATCCAATGTTGTCCTCAAGCTCTGAGGACAACATGATGCACAATTTTGTTTGGGAAGGTTTCTCATTTTTGAAGAATTGTATTGTAGTTTAGTGATACAATTTGTATGATGAAATATTTCTTTTTTCTTCTTAGGCATATTGCCAAACATGCATAAGTTCTTCAAATTGCATTTAAAACTTATTTAGAAAGTATTAAAGGAAATGCATCTAGTGCTGTGAGACACAATTGATAAGCAATTTCCAAAAGTGATTAGAAAAGAAAGTACAGGCAGCCTCCAAGTTAAGAATGGCCAATTTATGGACAATCTGTACTTATAAACAGGCTTCCTGTTATTAAAAGTGGCAAACACCAATGTCTTTCTTTCGGCTGACAAGCTGCTGAAGCCTCGTGTTTTTAATATACAGCTTGTTTTCAGAAGTTAATAAAAACATTGTGCAGTTTCAGCAGTTTGTCTATTTAAGGAAGGAAAATGGCATGTGCCATTTTTAATAATAGGCAGTATTTAACTATCAGTTCCAACTTATGTACAAATTCGAGTTAAAAACAAGAGTTAGGAATGGCACTTGTTCTTAACCTGGGGATTGCTTGTATGCAAATCCACTGTCCTTTTGAAAGCACTGACCATAGTTTGAGCAATATAGCTGTTCCCTTACATACCAGAGCTTTCAACCAGCCCAAGATGGATCTTCTCCCTGGGAAGCCTTGAAGCCTTGTAGATGATCTTGATTATTGTCTGCTCTTTGGCCCTTCGTTCTACTGCAGTTATTGGCTCTGCTTTTTGTGGAGCTGTCTTTGCTCTGCCATTTCTTCCCTGGAAGTCTACACCATGTATTTCTCTTTTTTCTCCTCCCTTCACGGCATGAGATAAAGAACATTTGCTTGCATTTTTGAAAGCTCAATTCTTCATTAAGATTTTGAGCTTGAAGAACTGGAGTAATTATAGAATAGCTTTGCCACCTCCTATTTCTTCCTCAAAAAGAAAATGAAAAGGTTGTCTGCTTATTTACAGTTTTGAAGGGAGGCATTCTCAATCATTATGAAATGAACTTTTCTTCATTCTCATAGATGCAGAACCCTGATACTTTATCTGCAATGTCAAATCCCAGAGCAATGCAGGCCTTGCTACAGATTCAGCAAGGTTTACAAACTCTAGCAACAGAAGCTCCAGGCCTTATACCTGGGTAAGTTTGGGCAAGAATTTTATTTGTACAATTTGTGATTTTCCCTGTACATTTTCAGGCCCTCTTGAATATATTGCTTCTTGCATTTCTATGTATGTTTCTTAGTGTTCACTGTATAAGTAATTTGTTTCCATGTTTCTTTCATGCAGATTTAATACTGGTATAGCTGGACTAGGAAATTCTGGCTTAGGAAGTGCTGGATTAGGGAATACTGCTATTCCTACCGGAACAACAGTGCCCACTTCAGTTGTAAATGAAAATACAAACCCAGCTTCAGGAACTGGTGAAACTGGACACCAACAGTTTGTTCAGCAGATGTTACAGGCCCTTGCTGGAGCAAATGCTCAGGTAAAAGAGTTGACCAGCCTCTGATTTAGGGAGGAATTAGAGAAGCAGAGATCTTAGCCAATAGAAACTGTTGGTATAAATGGTTCAACGTTATGGTGGTGCAACTTTGATTCCCAAGTCATTGAGGTGCATGCAGGCCCATTGCTCCAGATTTGGTTTAAATGTTCAACCAAGCCAAATATATGTATTCAGAGAGTTTAAATATTTTCCAAAGTAATATTTATCCTTGGATGAGGTGGCTGGCTTTACCTCCTAGTCACCGAAGCAAAGTTATAGTTGCATTTTTATATTCCAGCAGTAATTTATCCATTCTTGGTTTAGCATGTTCATTAAATTAAATTAGGTAAATTATTTTTACCTAACTTGGAGTAAGCTCCCTTATGATATGTTTAAAAAACCCCACATAATTGGGGCATACGCATCAGGCCCGAGGGATAATCTGGCAGATTTTTTTTTTTAAATCATCTCTAAGACACTGCATGTTCTTTATGAGCTTTTTGTGGGATTTCTTATTATCCCATTTCTTATTATGTTCTCAGGATAGAAATCATTTGAATCTGTAAGATTTTGCTTCTGTATTACTGTATTCTGCTTCACATCATTACAGTGTTTTGGGAACTAACAGGATATTTGATTACAAAAGAGTGATTGAAATTCATTTTTTGATTCATTTATTTTCAAACTGCATTGAATGGAAAAGTATCAAAATATTAAAAGTTTTTATTTATTTCTGTTTAGCAACTACAAAATCCTGAAGTCAGATTTCAGCAGCAACTGGAGCAACTCAGCGCAATGGGCTTCTTGAATCGTGAAGCCAACTTACAAGCTTTAATAGCAACAGGAGGTGACATCAATGCAGCCATTGAAAGGCTACTGGGTTCCCAGCCATCATAGCAACGTTTCTGAAACTTGACAAATGTAATTTATTTTTGATAACAGCTCTTAAATCTTTAAAATTACCAGCTTTATTTCATTCTGACTCTTGGGAATTGTCCTGTTCTAATTAAGCCCAGTCTGATGCATTTAAGGTGGAGTGCAGTAGTTTTCTTCAAACAGTGGGAATCAATGCTTTTCACTTGGTTGTTGCATGCATCAAACACTTCTTCATTTTGCATTTATTGTGATTTTTTTAAAAAAGGAAATCCGTTTCCACAGTTGAGTGACCAGGTTTTATCTGACCTCCAACTGTTCAATTTAGTTGCTTCTTTAAACATTAGCCTTTGATAGTAATTTATGTAGAATACAAATTAAAGAGGAAACTAATTGAAGCTATGATTTGTGGGGTACATATTGCTTATTGTGACTTGGCATGTCTCTCTTACTAGCAAAATGCTGCAAGATTTATACCATTTGATTTAGCTATTATTCTTGCTCTTTTATCTCTACAAAGTATATACATTTGGAAAAAGGTTTTTTTTCCCCGAGCAGATTTTTTTCATTGCAATAATATAAAATATCTCAGAGCCCAGAATAAATGAAATGTGCAAGACATCTCCAATGTAATAGAATTTTACAGCATCTTTAGCAAGCATCTCTTGATTAAAAGTGCTTTGGCAGAGTCTTTTAAAATACTGAGGTTGCTGATCTGATCTTGATAAATGTACAGAATTGTAACGTTGTCTCAATATTCACAAGGATTGATTGTAATTACCTCCATCTTTGTGCAGATTGGAGGAGCACATTTGATCTGAGACTGCTTTTGGCTAAAGCTTCTCAACTTTTATCCCCTTGAGATTCTAACTTGCATTATGAATTGTAATTTTCACTGACCCTGTCATGTGATACTATTAATTACTTTTAACCACCATGTAAAAATACTGTATATCTTTTGGGTTTTTATTGGTAGTTATTTCTCTTGTGCACAGGTAATAAATAAATTAAACTTCTTTGTGAGCAACAATTTAAAGTCATTTTATCTTGATAAAGAAATTCAGACTACAGTATTAAAGCTGAGACCATCTTAATTCAGCTTCCTTCTTTCCCAGTCCAAGTAATTTGCATTGAAGATGCTCTTTCTGGAAGTGAAGTATTATCTGAAACAATATTGCAACAGAAGCTTCTTTCACAGATTTGAACATTTTACATGGTCTCAAATCAATTTATCTGGATTTTTGCTGGATTTGTAGTGTTAACTAAATTATATTTTAATAGATTTATCATTACATTGAGTTTTAACTGTGATAAACACCAATCATTTGTTTCCCTTCATGCCACATTAAAGATTAGGATAGTACATTTTGGGAGATCATATTTAGTCCGGAGGTCTCAAGCTGCATTCTTTGCTCTAAACATTCCTGGGTCAAGTAATAGATTTCCTAGCCGACCTTTCATAAGAATTGAGCTGGAAGATGCTGGCAGTGTGAAAACCAAAACTACTGCTTTAGAATCAAATTTTTTGTCCATCTAGCCCTCCCTGGCTGTATCTCTTTTTTTCAGATCAACTATTAATCTTTCCTTTAAAACGTGGTATGAGAATTAAAGTATGGAATCCTGTCCTGGAAATAAATTTCTAAACTTATTGTTGTGCTCAGGACTTGAAGGAAAGAAGCATTCTACTTCACTGTCTTAGAGATACCCTTGACTGTCAGGGGAAGCCCCCTGTTACACAGAGACTGTTAGAGGTTACGTCAACTATGTGTTTTTTTGTTGTTGTAGTTTGGTTTAGAGGCGAAAAGGAGGATTTTGTCTATACACTATTTTTGTAGATCTTGAACTCTTAATATAAGAGATAAATGAAAAGTTTAAAAAGGCTAAAACAGAATGATTGACCTTAACATATCTTCTTCAGGTGTATATTTTTTCATTGGCTGATGTCTCCACTCTAATTTTTAATAACACCACAATTGTAATTTATTTAATGAAATACTCATACTTCCTAATACAGAAAACTACAACACTTTCCATATATTCTTTCAGTGATCAGTGTAAATGATATTCATATCCATTTATCTAACTGACTGTCTGTCTGTCTGTCTGTCTGTCTATCTATCTATCTATCTATCTATCTATCTATCTATCTATCTATCT